GAGTTCTTAGAACACACCTGCTCTACTTCAAATTAGACAAAAAGCATACATAGCATACTGAGTACCGTATTTCCCCGAATATATATATATATATATTTTTTACGCTAAAATTCAAGGGTAAAAAGGGGGGGGGGGGTGCGACTTACAATCGAGCATGACTTACTATGTAGTGACGTGGATGTGTCCAAACTGGCTTAAACCTGAAAACCGGGGTGCGACTCACACACAAGTGCGACTTATAATCGGGGAAATACAGTACACGCACTAGAAATTTTGAAAGAACATCCAAGGTTCAGAAATGCATCTTGAGCTTCTCAATGCCCAGCAGGTACACTGACGTTGACCATTGTTCACAAGCAACCTGCATCTTCGGCGGTTTTATGCACTCTCTTGCTACTAAGCATAAAACGAGAACTCGCCAGTCGATGGCAGCTCCTATGCTACGGTTGTGGGTGGCTGACAAGGCAGCCTTGCCTGAATCAAGCTCAAAACCTGCACACACACACACACACACACACACACACACACACACACACACATACACACACACACACACACACGCATACGCATACACGCGCACGGGCAAACACACATATACAGGCAAGGAACGTGCATAAGATGTTCAGGGGATGAAAGCAAATTGTCACAGTCAAACCACTGCATGTCCACATACCCACGAATATATGCACACACACACACACATACATACACACACACACACACACACACACACACACACACACCGCAACCAAAGCGCCCGCATACCCGCATGCGCGCAAGCACCAGACCGCCTGCCCACCGTACACCTGCAGACGCATACACACATAATTACGCACATGCACATGCACGCACGCACACACACGCACACACACACACACACACACACACACACACACACACACACACACACACACACACACACACACACACACACATGCATACCCAACCAACATCAATAACTCGTGTTTTTAACTACTGTCCATATTTCGACTAGAAACTCCATGATAGTGCACTGCCGAAAGACATACATACCACACTGAGTCAGCGTTTGAAGCAGCTCCATGTTTGGCGGGACGAAACCAGATGATCCCTGCTGGTGCAAGACGTCTACAAGCACATTCAAAGAGAAGGGTCAAAAGAGAGAGAGAGAGAGAGAGAGAGAGAGAGAGAGAGAGAGAGAGAGAGAGAGAGAGAGAGAGAGAGAGAGAGAGAGATAGAGAAAGAGAAAGAGAGAGAGTACAAAACAATGCATACAAGAAAATAGATGTTATATTATGCCAGAGGACCGTAGTCAAAGCAGTCACTTGACCAAGCAGTACATGTGACAAGACTTAGATAAAAGTGATGCGTCCTACAGGATACTAAAGGCTTAGATAGAGCATGGAAAACAACAGGTCATTGACTTGATAGGATCTTGGGAGGTAACACACGGGCAAGCATTTCAAGACCGATGAGTGCAACTCGCGCGGCAAACACACTGACCTTTTGACAGACGCAGTGTTCCCGCTGGTGTTGGCCGTGCAGTGGCGGCTGCAGGTGCACCGCTACCGGCAATGCCTGTGCTGGCCGAAGCGGCAGCAACAGCAGCAGCGGATGTAGCGCTGCCGCCACTGGTAGCAGTCGATCCCAATGCTGCACGCACGCTTTCCAGGCCCACAGCACAACTGGCTGAAAGTGGGAGCTTGACAAAATCACCTTCCTGCAACAGCAACATCAACACCAGACACCAAAGGCCACACAAGCACAAGACATTGCACTTAAAATCGAGACAGTTTCACGGTTCGCATGAGACTCAGCCAGACTGGATATTGCGTACCCATAAGAACGACCAGCCTCAAGGACTATCACGGAGCAGATACAGCTCCTAAAGCGGTGCAAGACTGCACCTAAGAACATACTCAAAGAACATCACCATTGACAACGGACCGGGAGAGAAGTTTGCAGGCCATAAGTACACTGTTGCACAATTCTTATGCATGTTTGCATATTTGTGTCGAAGTGAAACAGTAGAATATCTGAGTCAACAGCTTTGCTCATGCTCAACGGCTTTGCTAAGAGTAAAACAATGCTGGCCGCCATTTCCACTCCTTGTGATCGTAAAGGATAGAAATCAACGACATGGCACGGACACATACTTCCTCAAACCCAGCCAGTAGCATCAAACTTCTGCCTTCCTCGCGACTCCATACAACAGAATTGAAGCGTGCATTACCTGGGAACAAATAACAACAGAAGACACACGCGCGCGCGCACACACATACACACACACACATACACATGCACATACACACACACTACTCCTACTACTATGTACAACTGCCACAAAATGGCCACGTCGCTCCCAGAAGCGGGAGACAACAGCGAGAAAGGAAAAGAAATAAGGAGAGTAATTGAGGTGAAAGGGGACAGTGACACACACATACACACATGCACACACAAACACTACATAACGTAGTTCCGCGCATATAAGCCCATGGGCTTATATGTGAAACAATGCAGTTTGGGGATATAATATCCAGTAAAACATGTTCGTTTTTTAGCCCATGGGCCAATATTCGAATTTTGAAGGTTCACGAAAAAGTACAAGTCCGTGCTCATGGTGAGTTTACCATACTCTACTGGTAAACTGCACTGACCTGCTGTACAATAGTAGGAAGAGTCCATTTTGTGAAAAATTCTACTTGACACACGAGTTGCATTTGTGTCTGTTTATTAGCCCATGGGCTTATAAACGGAGGTGGGCGTATATCCGGATATACGCCCGTGGGCTTATATGCGCGGAATTACGGTATGCTTTGAGGACCTGAAGCATACTTGTGCTTAGTATTTTCGAAAGAGAAAAGTCAAACACAAGCCAGTGGCCAACCAGTAGCAAACGACAGTGTGGCAATGAACATAGGCTTAGAAATACCAAACGAGATGTTTCTGTAGCGAACATTACCTTTCCGAATCTGTCGATACTTCTCCTCTCCCGGATGGTCTTCGGCGTTTGCCAGATAACGCACAATTAAAGACAAGCAGTCACGATCTGGTGTAACTGCGGTATTGAATGAGGACTGTAAATACACACACATGCGAAAACAATGCACGTGCACACATTTGCACACATACAAACACGTGTATATACACACAATAAATACTACTACTACTACTACTACTACTACTACTACTACTACGTGCGCGCAAACGCCCATACAAACACACATACACGCATACACACACACGTGCGCGCAAACGCCCATACAAACACACATACACGCATACACACACGCACACGCACACAAGATCATGCATGGCCAAGAAGCTCCAAATTAATTATTAATTATCACTTCTCGAGTTGAAACTTTACATGAACATGTTGCCTACGCACACTAGTGAACTGATCTTGTGTTGACACATGACGTTACCTACATGTGCGTGTTTTTCGATTTTGACAGCATGTTACAAGGCGAGGACGCGTAGTGCTCCTGACTACAACCATAACCCGGTTGGCAGAGTCCCGGTCTTGCGACCATTTGAACCGTATTGAGAAAACCCCGCTTCGGACCCTCTTTACTCGAGGGGTTGGTAGAATGTAGAATTTCATCTTTTTTGATGTTGTGTTGTTGTCGTTGGTGGTGGTGGTGATGTTGTTGTGGACGGCGTCGTGTTGCCGCCGCAGTTGTCAAAATCGAAAAACATGTTAAACTATCAAGCAAGGCTTCTATATATACCTTACATGTGCATGTAAAACAGGTGAAGTCATGATAATTCGAACCCCGAAATGCCAGGGGAAAAAACTTCTAGTTATCAGGACATTCCAATTATCCAAACACGTACCCACAACAAATAATTTATTAACTTATGTACATGTACGTCAAAATGCTGGCATTGTCACCCATAGTTGCGCTATGCACCTTGGACACAGATTTCGTGGTTACTGAACTGCCTGCTCATGCGAACGTCAAAATGCTCGCATTCTCACGCAGAGTTGGTCTATGCACCTTGGACACAGATTTCGCGGTCACTAAACTGCCTGCTCATGCGAACATCAAAATGCTCGCATTGTCACGCAGAGTTGGCCTATGCACCTTGGACACAGATTTCGTGGTCACTAACTTGCCTGCTCATGCGAACTGAACTGACCTGTAGAATGAATAGTGAACTTCGAATTACATGGGTATGCTTTGCTAACTTCGAATTATCAGCACAAATCCCACACATTTTCTATGTAAATGGATTCCGTGGGACTTCTAATTAACTGGACATGGTCAGTTTGAGGTTCAAACTATCAGAAATATCTGTTCCAGGTTCCCCAGCCACCTCCACCTTCTGGATGACTTCTAGCTTTGTGGCCCTGCAAACTCACTGATATGTACGCGGCATCTGAACGTAGTCCTCTCTGTATGCTGCTACCTGGGCGTTCCCATTGCCGACGAAAAGACGGTCGGCCCGACCTGTCTCACCTTCCTGGGCATCGAACTGGACTCTGTGCAGAAAGTGGTCCGTCTCCCATAGGACAAGGTCGATGGTATCTGCTCCAGACCAGTAGCCTTTCGCCAACGCCAGACCTGTCGTCTACGGGAGCTTGAACAGCTGTTGGGCAAGCTGAACTTTGCCAGCCGCGGCATCACGCCGGGCCGTACATTCATGCGCCGACTGTATGATGCCACACGCAACGTCTCCAAGCTCTACCACTGCATCCGCCTCTCCCAGCAATGTCACCACTGCAAGCGTGCCCAATGCATCGAATGCGGCTGCATGCTTTGCAGGCGCAGGAATGATAGAAAGCCCATCTCCATCGTGTCACACGTGTTGTCGGCCAGTGTACAAGTACCAGGAATAGACCTCTGGCCACCACAGGTGAACTTTGCAGTAGCAAAGAAGGCCTTGAAGAACGTGTTTTTCCCCCCAGGCCACCGAAGAACGAGACATAGTCGCACCCTGACACTACAAATAAAGTCGGTATGATCTGCAGCGAGTTCTCTCTTGGGAGCTGCTCTAGGCCGGGATCAAACATGCTACTGTGCTGCGGGGCGGGCGCCGGGGCCCTCAGCTTCGAGTAGCGCCGGGGCCCTCAGCTTCGAGTAGCGCCGGGGCCCTCAGGTTCGAGTAGCGCCGGGGCCCTCAGCTTCGAGTAGCGCGGTCGACCACTGACTGGAGGATCGATCTGTCCGAACACTTCCAACCTCGTGTTATCAAATGGTATCCGCACGTGGTAGGTATCGGTGTCCGGGGAATATACGACACATTTCTGATAGCACAATGCATGACGCCACACCCTGGTACTAGTATCAGCTTCCGCGGCGTTAGCTGCATGTCTTGAAAATCCAGCACTCCATGCTCTGAGGAATGGATTCCCAGTGCTCGACCAGCATACTGGCCAGCAAATCCGCCAGATGTAGAACATTCTTGGGTGGGTTTCATGGACATCAAACAAACACTTGTGAAGCTGAAGGCCGCAATGAAGACTATGAGCCTACGCTTGCAGGTACGGCACGCTATGAAGCGTTTCCAGGAGGCAGGCAGACGATCGGTTGCTGGAATGGGTTTTGAATGGTCTTCAGCACAGACGTGTTGTCCGGCTACGCTATCCCTGTGCTGCTGTAATAGGGTCTTACAGGGCTGTGTCCAGCGTTAGCATCGTCGAACACAACAGGCATGCTGCCAGCTCCCCGTTGCAGCGATTGGCAAGACCCATGGGTACAGCAAAAATCTCGGTAAGCTGCGAAGGTTGCAGTGGAGGCAAGTGGTGCCGTGTGCAGCCAGAATATGGCGTCAAAAACCACTGCAGGTGAGGACGCCATGAAGCCCGCGGCTTATTCACCACTATGGCTGAGTTTTTTTTTATCGTAACTGACCATACCAGGATGTCACCGTGGACTTAGTGCCGCGCCGTGGTGTCAGGCCATCCTCTGCGAGTGCTCTCGGCACTTCGATCCGCTGCTCACCAACTCCAGTGGTACTCTCACCCCGTGCTGTTGCCACCATGCTATTAGCCATGCTAGCAAATACTTTGTTTAGGCAAGTGCTGAATAGACGCTAGGTTTTATTCTCCTGGTTTCCGGTGGGCTTTGTTGACGATGCGCACGTCGGCAACCGCTGCTGTCTGCGTGGAGGGTGTGCCATGGGTGTATGGAGTATCCTTGCTCGCACATAGGAGGGGAATTCCACTTCACCAGTGTTGTAAAACGTGAGCATGTCGCATGTCCGTGTGCTGCTCCTTGTTCGCCCTCTAGCTCTGGCCAGTGAAAGGATTCACAATTCACGTTGTCATACCGACAACAAAGCTGTTGCAGCCGTTCTCAAGTCTGGCACCAGCCGCTGCCCGAATGTGATGTCACTCCTACGACAGCTCTTCTTCATCTGCGCCAACGGCAAGGGTAACTCCAGGCTCCTCAGACGGCTCACTCAGCCCCTCAATATGGCTCACTCAGCCTCCGCAGCAGGGCCCTGCTCAGCTGCCATACGAGCTCTCCTGTCGGTATTCACTATCATACTGGCCTACAGTGACCATACAAATGTCGTCTACAGCAAAACTTTGCCACAAATACATGGAGAGGAATCAACCTTGCTTGCCAGGCTCCTCATACGGCTCATTCAGCCTCTTACACTGAGCCTCGGCTCACTCAGCCTCTCAAATACGGCTCACTCAGCCTCTCAACATGGCTTGCTCAGCCTCCGCAGCAGGGCCCTCCTAGCTGCCATACATACACATTCACTCGGAGCCTGGAAAAGCAATTGACAAACCCTCCTATTCCCCAAACTGCTTGCTTATTGTGTGAGTGTGGCATGCAGATAAGGCTTGTGTTAACATAATTTTTAATAGTACAGGTACTCAATCTGCGGACAGAACTGTTTCGTCCTTTGTGGACTGACTCATCAGCGCAGCACAGAGGAAATGAGGCCAAACCTGATAGCAATGAAAAATAAATTTTCCAAAAGCCAGATTTAAACCAGGCCCGAAGCTTCGAAGGTACCTTGCCAGAGTGCTCAAACTGACAAGTCAGTGAGCTCTGCAAAACGCAAACAGCAAAGGCACCACCCCACACGAGTGTACTCAACTTCTACCAGAGCAGGAGCGAAATACTCAACAAATAGTACAATGTCATGTAGAGGTAAAATGTACTAATACAAGGCAATGCATACAAAAATAACTTACCAACACCGAGGAAAACACAGAATCCATGGCCGACTGTCAAGAATTGTTACAGCTGTTCCGGGGAAGGAAGGGAGTGAGGAGCTCACAAACAAACTGTGTCGCCTGTCTTAGGAATCTTAGGAGTTCTTAGGAGCAGCACAATGTAAAACTGAGGAAAGAGGTGAGCTCAGAGTGCACGGTGTCTTGGGCTGAATGCGCTTCGCGTTCAGCAGGGCTTCTCAGACCAGAACACTTCTGCGAGGAGAAGTTCTTGCACTCGAGCACTATACTAGTAACTTATAAGAGTTCATTTCAAACTGCAGAAGCAAGAAATGCTGCTGACGTTCGTCTTCATGGTCTTTTAGCTTTGTACTTGCAAAAAATAAAATCTCTTGCCAAATGCCAGCACTTTTTTGAAACCTGCTGTTAAGTGTGACGTCACGGCCCCTTCGATACGCATAGCAACGGAGAGCACTGGGGACAAACAAAAGTCGCGTCCTCTGGATGGAACCAGTTGTCAAAGGCAACAGCATCTAAATGACTGGAGAGAGAGCAGTTTTTGTTTGCTTTTTCTTCAAGCGATTGTTGTCGCTCTTTACTCTTTGTTCTTTCCACTACAAATCTCCTGTAGTCGTCGAGGGCCTTCATAATGGCTGTGAAATTGGCTGCCCACTGTAAAACTCCGTGTTTGAGAGTGCTTTGAAGATTCTTCGCGTCCTGATGGATCAAAGTACGAGCGCTCCCCGTGGATTCGATTATATGTAGGTGAGTTGTTCAAGAAATCAGTGTCTTCTTTCTGTCTCTGCCCTCACGCTGGCACAATATCAGCTTCTATATCCATGACAGCCCGCACCTCCCGTAGACTGCATGATATAAAATAAAATAATTCTAGGGAATTGTTACAGGGTATTTTGGAAGGATGGAGAGAGAGAGAGAGCACTGTTTGAAGTGTTTGTCTCACTGTAATTACTCCAGATTATTGAATGGTGTATGATCTACTCGATATTTTCCGCAATGGTTTTTCCTGATTTGCGGCATCTCTTCTTTTGCTGTTTGCGTGTTTACAGGAAGTGACTGTCTGGTGTATCTGCACCAGATCCTGGGGAAATGAAGTCAGATGCAGAGGCAGGGTCGTGCAGTGATGCCACACTGCCGTTCTGTGTACAACGTCACCGCTAATTCCCCCGGCGAAAACACAAAAAGACAAACACGTGAATAGACTGCAGTATTGAACGCTCTACTAAATTAATGCATGACTGCTCGGACAGTCGATAATCGAAACACAGAGCACCAGCATGATGTTTTCATATTGGGAACCACACAACAGCTCAATTTTCAAGCCCAAAAATTGATGAATACAAAATACAGAGCGACGCAACAAGAGATCATCCGGCAACCAAACCAACCTGGGTCTAATGCACTGAATAGTCCTGGAATACGCAGGCCAGACAAAGCAGTGCTAGCACATAATGTTACAAGGTACATGCGTTGCAGAACAAAGTGTAACCAAAGATACACAGCGTTATAGCTGCACACTTGTGCATGTGCTCGCTCAGCCCAAGAACACGCATGATGATAGAAACAAACCGGGGAAAACACGCTAACACCAAAGTAAGCATCAACACGTAAATAGTGCAGCTCTGAGAAAGTAAAAAATTACATTGACATGTACATTGGTGTGCCGAGTAGTATCATCCTTGATTATGTTACTCATCCAACCAAGACTTGATCAGGTCCTAGACGCTGAGATTGCACGCCGAATGTGAAGTGCATCTAGCCATGAACCTGTCGCACAAGACACACACATATGGCAAAATGACATCCACTCTGATTATTTCCAGAGGCCAATCATGACAGAACACAGAAATGAAACCACGGGCTCAACCAAGTTAACGCAAAGGAAGTTAGTCAAAATAATCCATGCAGTGCTCTTTTAATTGCAGCGCTGACTGCAGTGTGGCGTCGTAGTCCGATACCCGCTGAGCACACTGAGACACAAACTCCATTCGACAGGGGCAAGACATACTCTTTTGGAATAAAGTCATAAAGTACAGCATTCCAATGACATGACGGACACCTCGTGCAAGTGAATGGTCTGTTCATCTGGCCGACTCGGCCACGCATGAGAGTGTGTGCATGTACGTGCGCACACAAGCGCAGCGCCTGCTCTAGGATTGTAGGACAGCTGGGTACACGTGTACCTGGCGCAACTACCATTTCAACCGGGTCGGAGCCGGGTACACATGTATTCGACGCGCGCCTCTGCATGATCTGTCACACATACAAGCCATGTAGTCAGTCCTTTCAAAGTTCGAACGTGTAAAGTACCAACTGGGTCACAGGTGACCCGGTACTATATTTTCAACCGGGTCCAAGCGCCGCCCAACCGGGTGGATTACCCGGGTCACCCGGCGCTGGAGCAGACACTGAAGAGCGCGCGTGAACACGCACGCACACCATGTATTCGGTGCGTATGGCATACCAGTTGCGGGGCAATGAAGATGGAATCAATATCATGATGTTACATGTACATGTACAGTGTATATTTGAGTGTAAAGAAAATTTTATTTTATTACACATTTCTTCGACACAACTTACTTCACATCTTCGTATTTCTCAGTCATAATCGATCCTCCTCCGATCGATTGATCCGTATCAGTTGAGGAAAAAATCTCCCAGGTATACACTAGTCACCACAGCCATGTGATGACATTGGGATGGGCCCCGAGCACGATTGCACTCTCCAGTTACAATATATTTGCCCAGATTATCTGTGAAGACAAAATGCAATGCATAGCGGAAATCGATCATGAGAGAGTTTGTGAATACACATATCTTTCCACTTGTTCAGGAGCTTACCTTTTGGAGTTCACATCGTTTACACGATCTCTCATGCTGTCTTGCACCTTAGCTTTGTTGACCATCGATACGCCATCCCAGAAAACATTCTACAGGAGCTACTAATGCAGAGCGTTTTTCACGCTCGATCTCGGCGATCTACCTTGTCACGCCAATAAAATTCTCCGTGACACTAGCTACAGTCACAAGAGACGTCTCAGTAAGGTAATGAGCAGGACAACACCGTCGAGATCAAGAACAAAGAGAAAACAAAACACTCACTGAAAACTTCAAAGAAGAAACGAAGAAATGTACAGGATTCCTATATGTTGCCACTGACAACTGGTTCGGTGGAGACGACGCTACTTTTGTTTGTCCCCAGTGGGATGGTTGCTATGCGTATCGAAGGAACTGTGACGTCATCACTTAACAGCCCCATTCTCCGGGCCGTGCACGTACGCGCGTGCCCACGTCAGTGACCATGGTGACGTCGCCTGGTCACCAACTTTTTTTTTTTTTTTTTTGCAGCTTACAACAGCCTCTTTTACGGGCAAGATTAAAAATTAAAAGCAACACAATGATGAGAAAACAAGAGGGGTAAACACAATAACTTTATCAAAGCTGTTGACTCACGCATACACACATACACACAAGATAACAATGATACTCAGTACCTAGACTGCAGGAGTTGCAAAGAAAGTTAAGGGGGGACTATGGTTTCGTGGGGTCAAAAATGAAGTTTCGAAATTCTAACTTTTTGTGCTTGCTAACGGTTCCACCTGCTTTCAAGGGCTGGAGAAAAAAATTTGAGCAAGTTCCGTTGATGCATTGCACAGATATACGCATCTAAAGTTGCACAAAATAATTAATTGCAACAGAATTTCAATTAGATGTTCAAATTTGCTAATTGCAATTCAGATGGAATGCGGCTAGTTCTCCCAACTCTGGCTGATTTCACTGTCAAAATCGTTTCTATGGTGACACAAAACTATCATGGACGCGTTGAACGCGAAGTATGCACAGCAGCATGCGCTTGACAGGTCCTTGAGCGATGTCATCTACATGTAGGTATAGGTACCGTATATAAAAATTCAAATAATTGTAAGACAAAATAATTGTGCAAGGACATTTTAGGTGGATCATAGGAAACCCTCGCCAGAGCTCCAGCAGTGGAGGCCGGAGAGTTCGTAGGGCGAAGAGGAAGTATTTTGGCCCAAAGAAGTCTTCTGAGGAACCTAGACCCGATGATGAGGCCGTGTTGGAGGCTGGCGTTCCAGAGAGTGCGTCTGCACGAAAATTGAAAAATGTGCCATTCTGGCTGCTTGAAGGAGATATTGAACAAGGTTTTCTCACCGAGTCAGACAGCGAGAGTGAGATTGATGAAGAGCAGGATGACGACGACGATGACGCTGCTGATTGTTGTGGAGTGAACGGCAATCGCATTGTTGACCTTAGCTCCCTGCAAGAATTTCTGGACAATTTCGCAATTTGTCGTAAATGTTCAAGTGGAACTCTTCGGCTCGCAGACTCAAAGAAACGAGGCCTTGGTACTGTGCTGACGCTTGAGTGCAATGCCTGTGGATATTTAGGCAATGCGCCACTCAGTAAGAAGGCTGGCAGAAGTTTTGAGGTGAACAAGCGGTCTGTCTTGGGTATGCGCCGCATTGGCAGAGGATGGAATGCGCTAAGAAAATTTTGTGGAATAATGAATTTGCCACCACCAGTGACAGAATCAGTTTACAACACGCACCACAAGCAGTTGATGACTGCCGCTGTTTCCAATGTTGCTGAGAAGGACATGCTCCAATGTGCTGTTGAGCTGAAGCAACTGGACAACACCGACAAAATTGCCGTCACATTCGCCGGAACCTGGATGCGACGCGGCTACTCCTCCCTCTTCGGTGTATTTGCTTGCATTTCATGGCGCACCGGTCGAGTTCTAGACGTGCAAGTGAAGAGTCGGTATTGCCACGAGTGTGCCCTGTGGAATGACGAGGAAGAGCGTGGAGTTGTTACAGCACAGGAATTTCAGGAATGGAAGGAGCAACACTACTGCAAGGCTAACACCAAGGCATCTGCACCTGGCATGGAATGTGAAGCTGCGAGTGGTGTATGGAAGCGCTCAGTGGAGAAGCGCAGCCTTGTGTACACCACCTACATTGGAGATGGAGACACCAAGGGTTATAACAGAGTGTATAAGGAAGACTCGTATGGTGGTGTACCAATTGCAAAAGAAGAATGTGTTGGCCATGTTGAGAAGAGGGTGGGCACACGACATAAACTCTTGCCACTTCATGAAAGGTACATATTTGGAGTGCCTATTTTGTCTGTTTTTAGCTATTTTTCCACTTTCCGCGCAATTTCCTGGTCAGGTCTTTCGTATTTGATATATGAAAGTGTGGATTTTCTGATTCTGCATGTCAAGCTGCAGTGCATATGCCTACTTTTAGAGTCCCTTTGTTAGACTGGTGACCCTTAGCCCTCCTGAAATTTGTAAAAAATTACCGTTTGTGCGCATTGCCGTGTTTTTGTTGTTGTTTGC